CTATAGAGCTCCGATGGCCAGCATAAGAGTTACATTCAACAGTTTTCCGATAAGTGAAACCCTTGCGGGTGGAATTTTCAAAAACGTATTCATTAACTTCTTGCGCACATATGAATTTCATAGATGCTTAGAAATAAATTTGAATACGTAACATCATGAGACAAAACGAATTGCTAATAGGTTTTTTTTTTGACAAAGTTTGTAAATTTTGTTTGGGTACGTTTAATTTTCATAACCATCATTGCTCCCATTTACTTTAGTTGAGTTTTATTTTTTTACTCAACAACTAATTGATGCGATGCAAGAAAGTGCAATTAATATTTGTAGTTAATTATTAAGAAATTCAATATGTAATATATCAGTTTAATATATTTGTTGTCGCATTATTGTTTTAGTCGAAATGTTGATTAATTTTATGTTCACAGCTTATTGAGGCGATTCAATGCATTCATAACGGTTGACAGCGCGTAATGAGTGCTGCATGTCGCATGTCGCATGCCGCATGTCGCATGTCGCATGTTGCCCCGTGCCCCGTGCCACAAACATGCGTAACACTTGCATTTGTAGTCGTGTATTTGGACTGCGGCTACTTTTCGACTTGTTATTTGTGTTTGGAATAATTTTTAAAATTAATCAAAATTAATTACAGAGATCTATATGAAATCTGTAAAATAAATTTTATAATAATTTATTTATTGAAACCAGTTTAAAGAGCGAATAAACACACGCGCACACACCGCACACTGGACACTGGGAAAAATTAAACATTAAATGGCCATTGCCAACAACATTAACGTTCATTATTTGCACGGGCGGGGACTGCGGCGGGGGTGCACGGCTGCTGTTGCGGCTGCATGAGCCTCCAATTAGCAATAACTGTAAATGTGAAATTTGCACATGCATAAAAAGCCTTTAGCCGCCATTTTTCATTTGTCAATTGTCAGCAAATAGACAAAGCGAGAGAGGGACAGAGAGGGAGAGGGAGGGGGGGGGGAGAGAGGGAGGGACAGTAACCACTTTTGTCAAGCCATTTGCATTTGCATTACCATACGCATTTCCATATCCATTTTCATTTGCATATGCAGTTGCAGTTGCAGTTGCAGTTGCAGTTGCAGTGCGCCAAAATCATTTTAATTTGCACATAATTTGCGCTGCTTTAAGATCGCTTACAGCTGGCGAAACAACAAAGCGAACGAACAAGTTTCAAACCTGCGGCCACATGTAAAATTCCATCAAAAATCATCGCGGCTCTGAGCAAATGAAAACACGCTGCGAAAATTAAGTTTGCGTTAGCTGGTTTAGTAACAACAGCAGCCAAATGTTCAAGCAAAGCAATTAAGCCGATATTTGTATACACTATCGGAATAAAAACTAAAAACGAAATATCTAGCCAGAAGCTCAATTCAAGTTTTATTTTATGCGTTATTCGGCTTAATTGATAACTCATTATTTCTTATTATGTGGAGAAATAATGTTTTATTGGAAAAATAATTTAATAGATTAATCAATAATAGTACTAGTTATTTATTAATAATTTGTTTATATACTTGGATTAGTTACATTGGCAGAAAGTCAATTGAGTATTTCTTTCCTAATTGGTTTTTGGGTAAATTTAATCGTGTGTGTTTAGCTTGACAAGTCTGATGAGCTATTGGAAATCCCTTTGCTTGTAGAGCATTCGTAGGCGCAATATTTGGTTTTTTGCAATAAGCAACCGCTGGTAACCATCTGCAACACTTTTTTGCCCCATTCACCCCTTCAGCCAAATTGTATTGTAGTTTGCGTGCAAATATTGTGCCGCCTTCCACGTCGCTTTTGACGGCGCTTTGTGGTAGCCGCAGAGCGCGGCTCAACGTCAAGCTTTGAAAATCAAATTGCGATTGCAACGTGGCGTATACGCAACGCAGTTTTACCAAGCTTTTTGGAGCGCCCAGCTTCAGCTACAGCTCGCGTGCAATACGCGCTATTTGCGCACACAATTTGGACTGTTTGTTGTTGCAGCTTATTGTTTTCCTGGGACGGAATTGCAACGCCCCCTTCAATCTCTGAATACATACATACAGAGCGTGCAGACATGGATACATACGTTTTCATTATAGACGGCACCTCGGCAGCCTTCTTGCCTGGCGATTAGTCATTGTCGCCCCGCCGTTTATTTGTCCTGTTGCAGTAATCAGCCAACTGCCAACTGGCAACTGGCAATTGCGAACGGCCAAAGGCCAACGAGCGAATGCAAACGCTTTTATTTGCCTTGGCACAAATCCTGGCAAGCCATTTGACTTTGCCTGCTGGGAAAATATTTGTTTAATTTGCCAGCGCTTCGTTGAGTTCATAAAAATGGCAATGAAGCCGTTCCGCCAAAAGAGCCTCCATACTCATCGCACATGCAGCTGCTAATTCCATTTGCAATCTACAATTTGGCACTTGCGCCTTGCATGTCATCAATTTCGGCTAGTGAATTTTTTAAAACGCCAAATTGCCCCGGTCATTGTTGTATTTAGTCAGAGCGATAACCTGAGGGCTCTGCAAAATGATGCCAACTAATAATAAAGAAAAAAAAAAAATGCATGAGAGAAAATTGCTAACACACACTAGATTCTGGGCAGTTGAGTGTGAGTTTTTGGTTAAATATTTTATAATTAAAAAGCTAACACCGACTAACACCGCGCGAGGTGTGTGTGCAAACAATAAACAAACAAAATCCTTTTCAAATATTTACCGTTGGCATATACCACTGCTGACAGCGAAGTTGATGTGACGCTGACGTTGACGCTAACGTTGACGCTAACGTTGACGCTAACGTTGACGTTGACTTTGACGTTGACGTTGCGGCACTCGATGTTGCACACTCTCGTCCTTTCAACTATGTAGTTAAATTTTAAAATTTGATTTTATTGTGTCCGAAAATAATAATAACAATTTCTACACGGCTTGTGTGTATTTGCATGCCTTTGGGTCATTTAATTTTGCATAATAATTTATTTGCAATGGCTGAAAAAATTGTTTATTGTATTTTATGTTTCAATTTTTTAACAAGCTGCCGCAATAACAATGGCCACGCCCCTAGTCTGTTGGCATTTAATTTTCAATTGCTTTTTGTCTGCTTTTTACACACACACACACACACACACATCTTTTATTTATAACTTTTGCATATGCCACTGAATATATGTACAACTTGCATGTGTTTGTTGGTTGTGAGGGGGGGAGGGGGAGGGTGAGGAGTTGGCGTCAGTGAGTTGCCAACGCGGCAAAATCCTGCGCATGTGTCACATTTCATCATACAGCAAAAAAGGTCTAGTGATGAATATTAAAAAAGAAGTTTCAAAGTGAAAACCAAAAAAAAAAAATGAAAAAGAGGCCAAAGAAAAGCCAAAATATAAAACAAAAATGTATTATATAAGCCCAGCGAATATGCGGCTTAAGCGAAACAATTGTGGCCTACATGTATATAATTTGCTGGACAGTTTTTCATGGAAAAACTTCAACAAACCCCATACATGATGGAATAGCTAATGCGCCAGCTTTTCTGATTTTTGTTGCCGTTCCACTTTTTGCGACCACAACAACTCTTCTCATTGCGCGTAGCGCACAAGGGCCTGGCAAAATTCTAATAATTTTTGCGCACTCCAGGCACAAACCGAATCCATCATAAATCTCGGCCCAGCTCGATGACAATGCATCATCCGTGTGCAAACAGAATGCTAAATCTCTTTTAATATCCTTTATGTCCAGGATGCGCCATATGCGTGTGTGTTGTCTAAGGCTAAGGCACAGATACACACGCACACAATGCGCATGAGTGTGTGCGAGTGTGTGTGTGTGTGTGTGTGTGTGGTTGAACCTTTGTATTGCTTTAAATTTGATATTAAATTGTGGAAATTGTAACGAGTTCCATTTAAAGCGCTTTACAGCCAACCTCAAGCACGGCAATAAGAAACAAAATGAAAAAATAAAATAGAAGCAACAAAAAGGAAGACAAAAAAAAAAAACTGGCAACGTTTGACGTTGTATCTACAAGATACAATAACTTGTGCCACTAGTGCTCGCTGCTCGAAAGTGGCCGAAAAGTACCGACAAAGTATCAGCAAACAAAGGCCAAAAAGGAGAGCGCATAAAACAAATGAAACTCTTGTCGAAGCCGAGAAAAGCTCAAGAAAATTTCAAGAAAAAATATTAAGACAACAACAACAACAACAACTATGGGCAACAATAACAGAAGACCAGCCCCAGAGTCTGGTGTTAGACGACCCCAAAATGCTCAAGTGCCTGCTTAGAGAGGCAACAGAAGCTGCAGCTCGAGCTGGTCTGCTGCCATTTGTAATAGTTGCCAGGCATACGACAGGAAGCAAAGGCTGGCATCCTGCTCTATGAGCAACAAAATGAAAGAAAAGTAAAAATCAAAAGTAAAACAAAGTGTTGCAGAGCCAAACCTCTGCCGAAAAGGGCGCCACATTCAGCTCCTTCCGCTCTTCCTGCTGCTGCTGCTGCGGGCTATTTCATGTAGTCGAATCAATTCAAAACAACTACGAATGCAATTTAATAAAATCCGTGCACGATGCGAACAGTTTTTTTTTTTTTTTTTTTTTTTTGAAGACGACGTCTGGTGGTGGATTCAGCTCACATAGGTATCATTGGGTGGCTAGCTCCGAGTCTGGGTCTGAGTCTGTGCCTTTGCCAGCAAAGAGTAAAGCCAGCCCGGCGCAAAACAATAAAGCGCGCTTGTGTACACAAGGGATATGCGCCTGTCTTTCAGCGTAAACACATATACTATTTGTGTGTGTGTGTGTGTGTGTGTGTGTGCCGCCATATTGCCAGTCGCCGCTTTCTTTGTTTACCGAGCGTTGTTAATTTGGCAATACCCGCTTTCAATTATCTTATAAATATGAAAATGCAGCAGCAAACGCTGCGGGCAGCCTTTCAGAGAGAGAGACCGGCGTCTCAATTGTACGACTGTGTCCATACGTACACACACACACACACACACACACGAGAGAGAGTAATGAGAAAACGTTTCACTTTTATTAAAAAATATAAAAGCCAACTGCCGTGTGTGCCTTACAGATCAATCAAAAAATCATGACGTGCTCCGGCTCCATCCATGTCCGGATCCACTTGCAAGTCGCATTAAAGTGGCAAAAGCAAGCAAAAGGAGCTGCTCGCTCGTTCTCTGTGTACGTGACGGCAACAATAAATGTAACTGCAACTGCAACTGCAATTTGTAACTGCAACTGTAACTGCAACTGTGGGTACGCGTCTGTGATGCAATTGTGCGCATTACTTGCCGCTGCATTTTGCAATCCGCAGGCACGCACCTTCCTTCTAGCCGGGGCTAGGCGAGGTCGTCACTTCGTTGCGCATCTCTGGCATTGGCAAATATGTGCACACTGACGATCGCTGATCCAAGCGTCGCCCCGCCCCCCTTCCGCTCCTTAACCACTGCCCCGCAGCGACACTATTTCAATTAGCAACTGCAATGCACGCGCTAAAATATGCAAAGTGCCTGCCACTCGCGTCCGCGTCATGCCAATGATCGAGTCGCAGCCGCCGCCTCAGTCGCAGCCTCAGCACTTGACCCCGCCATCGCTGGCGTCGTCGTCGTCGTCGTCTTGGTTGCTGCTGCTGGCACACTTTGCGCACCGCATTGCTTATTGGGCGTGTATCTGTGTGTGTAAATATTTAACGCGAAATGCCACAGCCGCTGCGACAGCGACAGCGACAGCATTGAGAGGAGCTTCAAGTCCCAAGCTACAAGCCCGGAGAAGCCATAAGAAGGCGCGACGTGTCGGCGCTCCTGTAAAGTATTTAGCAACATTTTGCGCATGTGCTTCTCTCGCATGCAGCCCGGCCCCCGACCTCGATCGGACCCGCGCCCTATGAAATGCTGCAAATCATTTGCATGTGGACATCGAAAGCAATCTGTGGCAATATCAAAAGAGATTTACTTGATGTACTATGATTGTGTATTATAATGTCTCAAAAGAACAAAAGATGAAGAGATAGAGAGGGAGAGAGCACGGCATGCCGAAGATTAAATACCCTTATTTCCGATCGTTTATAGTTTCCATGTGGTTCGGTCAAGATTTTCTAGAAAGCACGACCAATTCCCATACAAATATATATACATAATTCCACATCTTAGACTGATTCTTCCTATAACTGACTGACTTTACAAAAACTCCTAGTTGTTAACTTCAGGCAAGATACTTGAAAAAACATAAGAACTTATCTTTTTAACAGCAGCTATAAGATATAATCGGATCTCGGCTTCAACAGAAATACCGACATAGGCTTAAAACTTCTACGGCATCGGAGATGTCGACTTCTATAAGTATATACCCTATAAAAGGGTATGAAAACCTTATCTTCTTATGTGAATGCATAATCTCAAGAGCTAAATATTCAGATCAGCAAATACGTCATTTGCTATTTTTGGGTAAATTAAGATAACTGCTTCTTGTTGTTATCTCAACCGATTCTTTTGTTTGTTGGATCGGTCTGAAAGTAGTTTATGATGTTTGCCTTACCCCCAAGTGTGCAATCATACTGTATCTCTTATTATAAAAATATATATCTATACCCCAGATTTTTTAGTAGTCGAGGGCTAACGAACGAAAGTACTCTAAGTCGGGACAAGGGTAAAAAACCTCAGGTATTTGCATGCATTGTGTAGCATACTTAAGGGCTATGCTAACGATATTTAATAATGTTGTCAAAAGTAGAGGATGAAGCAGCATTGCATTCCCATTTAATACATTTGCGTCAATTAAAACTTATGCAACCTCTTAAGTAGACGCGTTTTATTTGCCTGGGCAAAGGCATCAACTCGTCTTGCTTTCAAGCATAAAACTCAAATCGGGTCCGAGCTCCATCCGAAACTCCATCCACCATTAAAAGTCAACCGAGCGCGGCATTTTTGTGGTACAATGTGCTCCCCGTACTCGTACCCAAAAAAGTTGGCTTGAAGACATGTCGTTGTTGTTGTTGTTGTTGTTTTGTTGTTGCTTATGTTAATGTTGCTGTTGTTGTTGCTGCTGCTGCTGCTTGTTTGCGGTGATAATGACGCTCGAGCAGAGCCAATTCAACGTTAATCACGACTTTTACTTGCCTTTAATTTTTTTGGCAAATAAGACAAAAAAAAAACACACTGAAGCCGCGCATACAACTGGGCGCGGACGTCGTCACTCAGCCGGCAGGTTAAGCCGACCTACAAGTATTCAGATATATACACATGCATACATTTATATATGTATATATTTATATGTGGGTACCTGTGTGTGTGTGTGTGTGTGTGTGTAATTTCCACTGTCGCTATGTGTGAGCTCTTTTTGTAGTTGTTGTTCGAATTCAATTTAAAATGCACGTAGTTATGACTGTTTGCTTAAGTTTTTGACGGATATTTTAACGATGTGAGCTCAACACAAATTCACTTTAAATGTTTTGAGGCGGGAACTCAGATCTATACATATATAATATATATAGAAATCTCTCTGTGTGTGTGTTTGTGTGTGTGTAAATGGGCGACAGCGTCGGTGACAACGTTCGCGTCCCACGTCCCGCACCGCTGAGGAACGACAACTGCAAACATGTCGAGATATTCACGTCCGAGTGATAATGAGATGTGCGCCTTTTTTTCGAGTCGCTTATTTTTGTCTTCTCCATTTGCATCTGCTGCTTCTTCTTCTTATTTTGTTTTTTTTTTGTATTTTCACTGATAAACAAGATGGAGTTACATTTTTAGGTTAATTATGTGTTAAAGTGTGGGGCCGTGCACGAAGTCTCCTTGTCGAGAGAAAATGTGAAGGCTGTCCATTATATAAAGCTAATGTTGACATACGTATTAAGTCATAGGCTGAGCACTTACGATTCACTATCCAGAAATCTAGACCATAATCAATCTTTTTATACTTATATAAAGTCAGCTTATCCTGACTGGCTGATCGACTGACTAGCGCCCAGGCTGGGATGCTGTACTCTGTTCCTTCATGTGAACAACACGATGTTGTTTTGGGAAATTTAACCCGAAAGTGCGTAAAGAAAACTGTTCCAGATGATTTGTATAAGCAAAAAGTAGTATTATTTATATTTTTTCTATTCTTTTTATACCTTGAACCCAAATCATCATATCAAAATGGGTATAAGGGTATATTGTAATTGTGCAAAATCAAAATGTATGTAACAGGCAGAATGAAGCATCTCCGACCCCATAAAGGATATATATTCTTGATCAGCATCAATAGCCCAGTCGATCTAGCCATGTCCGTCTGTCGTGTGAACGCAAGGATCTCAAAACATATAAGAGCTATAGACTTGAAATTTTAGATGTAGGTGCTTCTAGTGCCTGCGCAGATAAGAGCTAGAGTCACGAAACATGATATGTTGCTTCTAATTTAGAATGTATATATGCATTTGATGTTGGAACAAGAGGGTTCAGGGTATCAGGGTATCGGAGCTCCCGACTAGAACCTCTTACTTGTTAATATTAATTTATATTATTTTTTCAATTCTTTATTATGAGATTGTGGTTCAATCCTTTTGTTCTAGTATCTTTGTCTTTTGTATATTGGATTTCAGACGTATTTGGATTCAACGTCATGAATTCGTCTAGACCTGAGCGAGGTGCCTTGTGATAAATTTATGTCGATTCAAAACCAGAAATGTGAAAACAAATCCAAGCTTAAGCTCTCTGGAATATTAATGACATTACCACAAACTGATACTATTTGTCACAGCTATCGCCTGCTTATTCAACTCAAATTTTCTGTATGCTCACATTGAGAGTGGAGCAGAGGGTAGCGCGTTTGTGCTAAATTATCAAAACTCACCAAATCAGACATCGGGCATTATGCAAAATTGCAAGACGTTTGCTGATGCGGCAGGTTGTTGTCGCCGTGCTCGTCCTAGCCCTAGGGCAAACTGGCCAGCTGCTGATTCATTAAATCAGGTCCGAAAATGCTTGTTGTTGTCTAGTTTATGGGCACGGGCCCTCAAAGCAAAGGCGAACCAACAACCGCAGCGTTGCACTATACGAAGGCTGTGCAAATATTTTACGCAAATGCCCGGCCCCTTCATTGCACGGGCCCGCTTGGCCATGGCTAGTACGGTTTGGGCCACTGAAACGAAATTAATTTGTGTTTATACATAATATGCCTGGTCCGGTCCCGCCCTACATACTATATCCGCCCAGTGCTAGTGCTCTGTATACATACTTAAATACATACACAAGCCTGTGTCTGTATGTGTGTGTGTGTGTGTGTGTGTGTGTGTGTGTGTGTGTGTGTGTGTGTGTATGTACGTGTGTGCGTGTGAATGTATCTGGTTGCTGCAATGAAATTTCATTATGAATATGCCAGCCAGCATCATTATCAGAGCACCAAAACACGCAATGCTACACGCTGCAAAGGATATGCACACACACCCAACACACACACACACCCAACACACACACACACACCCAGCATATAAGTATATGCGAACGGTTTTATATGAGCTGCTGCAGCTGCAGCAATGGAGATGCAGGCAGGCAGGCAGCTAACCGTATGGAGCCAGAGCCGGAGCCGGATCCGGAGCCCGACCGAGGCAGAGAGAGAGAGAGAGAGAGAGAGAGAGCGCCAGATCCCGAGAATTTTCCACTGCTGCTGTTGCGGTGGCTTTGGTTTTGGCTGTTTGCTGTTGGCGCTGTTGTTGCGGTCGGATAGACAGCGTCCACCAGATAGACAACAATAATGCACATGTGTCTAAAATTGAGTTTAAATATACATAAGCGAGGGAAGTTTAATACATTTCCAGTTTATATACTGTACTACTTATAAGGAATTGTTAAAATGCGATAGTCGATAGCTACTGGTAAATTAAGGTACTTATAAATTGTTAAATATCGAAAAACTATCTTTATTTATATCTGAAAGCACAACTGATTTAAGTGGTATTTATTCTTTTTTTAACAGCCCGTACATTAAAGATATTAACAATTTGGCATGAGGAGCAAGGCATCATTATTTTGACCTTCAAGTCGTTAGATAAAATTCAAATATTGTAGAAATTTTCTGTCCTTTTTCCACTGGCACCGCTCTGCATCACTTTTGGTAAGCAAACTGAAGAGTTCGCCACAGCTCTCATGCCCGAGTATCAGCCAACTCCGACGGAACTCTAGAGTATAGGTCGGTATCATATGATATACCTTATCAAGTAGCCTTTCAACCGAAAGTAATTCATGTCTTCTAAGCCCCTTTGAATGCATTGCTCTGTGGTTAATTTTGAGTTATACTTATAACCACTTAACATATCATTGGGGATAAACTAAAATGAGGGAATAAACTTTCTATGGTACAGGGCTAACGGAGGATGAAGTACATCTGCTGCGTAGTGTGCGAAGTTAGCGGCGAGTGTGTGTGTCTCTTGCAGAAGTCAATTCAAATATTTGTGAATGCAGGGTAACTCCAAGCGGGACACTTCCGATTAAAGTACTCTTTTTTTAGGATTTCAAATGTATATAGAGCTGTAGCATCTCTCATAGAATAAGCTGCTTGAATAAACCAATTGAACCATTTATAAATAGTTACAGATTATGGACAAGCTATGCAGGTGACATTTCCACACACCTAGCACACACTCCCAATATATATTGTTTCTTAAATAAAGTGCCTAAAGTGGGCCCATTACAATGATGCCACTTGAGAGGAATGTGTGTGTCAATTTTTTTGGAATTATGCCGCGTTAGCAGAAAGTTGTTGATTCATACGATTGACTCCGCTGTGCAAACTTAACTGCCTGTAAATCGGGTAAACTGTTGATGCACGGGCGGTATTGGCACCGGGCCGCCACAGTCCCCGGAAACGCCCCAGGAGTTGGCTCAGCCATCAGCCGTAGGCCGCATGCATATGCAGGCGATGGCGACACGAATCGGAGTCCGGAATCGGACTCCCTGCCGGCTGATGGCTGGCCGTGGGTTGTTGGTGCTGGCTGCTGCAGTTGCCGCAGTCGCTGCAGTTGCTGTTGAGCAATCAATCAGCGAGCAAAAGTCAAACATTGACTTACAATCCAATCCACGGATTTAAATTGACGTATTTACCAGCGCAACGAGCGCCGTAGACGTAGACAATGGAGGCGGCTCTTGGCCGGACTCCCGGACGCCCGGACTGGTTGCCTGGCGACTTGCG